CCGGGCTGGGGATTCGAACCCGCCACCTTAGGTGTACGTGGCTGGCGCCTTAGCCGGTTGAGCCATAGGCGCCGAGCCGTTTTCTAATTTTTAAATTAAGTATTTCACGAATATTCTTCTACTTTTCTAACACAGCACATCCATCATTTTAACAGCTATATAATATTTCATTATAATCATATCCCATAATCCATTTACTAATTCCCTCTGTACAGATTAATATAATTCATCTTAATGTTAAAAATAAGCACAAAGCACACAGCATTCTTAGGCTGGGAAAGAAATAAACGGAGATGTCTTATGAACCAAACAAAGGAAGATCAAGTCACACATGATGAGTAATCCCTGGCATTTGTAAGGAACCCTTTGCACACTTCATATTTGTTAATATAGAAACTACTAACATCTAAGTGTCAGCTCCACTCCTACTTACAAACTGACCTAAAGCAGACATGGTTAGGGATAATATTTAAAATATTTAGTCATCATTTTGCCATAAATGACCACTAACCAGAGTGGATGCCATTGTAGCATCTACTCTAGGAGGCCCTTCCTGTACCTGGTATTAGCAATTTAGTGGCTAGACAGAGAGAAGGTGGAAGGAGAACAGATCCAGGGTGGTGAGAAACTATTTCAATATTTTAAGAACTAGTATGACAATAGCAGGTGGCAGTGACAACACATAGGTGAGTACCAGGCTTGCACAGGATATTTGGGTAGTAGGTTCTAACATGTGTTCTCCCTCAGTGATTATTTGAATCTGTAGCAGGTGATGCAGAGTAGGGGTGGAGGGGGGATGTAATTGAAAATAAAACTGCAACAAAGGCAGTAGCAGCAGCACCCACTATCCAGTCCCCACCAGCAGTGGCAACAGCAGCAACAGTCTATCCAGACTATTCCAGGGCTTGAACCTGGCTCTGATTCTAGTCAACTCAGCCTCCTAGAATTCCTGTTCCAGCTCTGAGTGCAGTTCTCCAGCTTTCCATAAACTCTGTGAACTACCCAAGATCTTGCCAGTAAAATCCCTTTTTGGTTTGAGCTCACCAGAGGCAGTTTCTGGTTATCTGAATCCCAAGAAACTTGGCCAAGTGGAAGATGGGAGGGAGGAGACGCAAAGGTTTCATCTGAAGAAGAGAATCTTTATTACTCTCCCCTGGGTGAGGCCAGACAGATCTAAATTCCAAGTACCTAGGCAATAATTTTGTCTCTACAACCTGAAGAGCTCAGAGGCCAGGCAGCAAAGATGTGTGCAGGGCACTGTTCACACTGCGCCTGATCAGAAGAACACTGAAAGCTTTGAAAACCTAATCTAGTCCCTGCTGTTTATAGGCTATTATAATCAGATGTAGAACTTGAGAGTTTATTTTACATAAAAACCTCTGACACTTAAAATTTATTTTAAAACGAAGCTATAAAGAGCTTGATTTGGTTGAGTACATGATAGCATGTCTTTGGAATGTCTCCCACAA